TGCCTATGTGAAGTTTTTTTTCAAGGGGGAAAAATCTTCGAATGACTGCTTCCGCCTGGGTGAGGCGAAAGGGAGTGTCAGAATCTTACTGACTAAAAACCACCCCGGTCCTACTCCTGCACTTCGAGCCGGAACCCCGGCAGCCCGTTATGTTCTCCGCAGCTACTTATCTGAAGATAGTGTTGCGTTTAATGTGTGGGAGTTTTTAGCTTAACTGAATGTTACTGGGAGGTGTCAAAGGATATTTTTGTTTAAATCATCATGATGATCGACAGCTTATAAGTGGCCACTGCTGACCAAAGGCCTCTTCTCACACGGAGAAGGTTTGAGTGAGCATTAATCACCATGCTTGTTTAATGCAGGTTGGCGATTTCAAACTTATAATTAGAAATTATAAGCCCAGGACTCCTCATAATGTTTTCATTCACCGTTTGTCAGTGGTATCTAGATAATCTTAGAAAGTACTTACATATAACTCGGAAAAAGTTACATTGGTACTTGACGTTGGTAGCTTTCGAACTCGCTCTCTCGTGCATGAGAAGTGGGCATCTTAAACCTCCGGACCACCACGACTTGAATAATTCTGCGTAAAGGTTTAAAATACAAAATCGAAATCTAAACTTCTTAAGTTCCTAAAGATTTGAATGTCATCGTCGAATAAGTCATGAACACTTATTAAAAAAATAAATAAAATAACGTTTATTTCGGACAAGTGAAGCATCCATAGGGGTTAGTAAGAAAACATTTAAAATCTTAAAAACTATGTTAGTATTAATATGAATGCCAAAAAGTCATAGATTTATACAATAAGAATATTATGCGGGATATAACATTTCAGTTTTGGATTTCACCAAAAATTTATAGGATTGTATTCATTTAAAATTACATTTTTACGTACATTTTTATTCCGAATACAAAATTATCACTTTTTTTTTGTTTTATAAGTTTTGTTCTTTTTCTTTTGGGTCGGTGTATTTTGCATATTGAGTAAACAATTAGATTATCATTATATTAACCTAATAATATAATATTAAATCAATTAATTAATTGCTTATATATTTTTACATGAAACGAGGTAAAACATTACACATAAAATTATAAGGCTCAAATTGCCACGCTTAAAAAATTTATAGGCTCTAATAAGATATACCATAGAAAAAAAAAGTTGATATAATAAGTAAAACTGCTCCTAGTTGAAACTCGATGCCCTTGACCAAAGACGAGTTCTTGTTTTTTAAAAAAAAAAAGATTTTGTCGGTATTAGTAGTGAAAAAAGTTTCAAGTAATATTACCGCTTAAACATTTTTTGATTTATATAAGTTTAATTATGAGCATTAAAAATGTGTAATAATAATTATATTTACTTAATTAAGGGCCGATTTTTCTAACGCCAGATTGAAAAATTACTTTGAATATTTGACAATTGTTATTAAAAATACGAATTTTATTGTATAGTTAAGAATTAACTAGTGATTGATAAATCGGTTCTAAGCAACCCATCAGTAACCCCTTGAGTTAATCAGCAGTTAAACAGTACTATTTGAAAATAAATATATCAATGTACCTACGGGGTTAGGCACGGCACGGGCAAGGTTAGAATGAAAAAAGAAAGACAGAAAAAACAATTATTTAGCACCAGGCACAATGCAGCATACATAAAATATAAAAAATGCTATGCAACAGTGAAATGAGGTAAAAAAATTAGGTTGATGTTCTTCTACAAATTATGTATTTCAAACCTTAGGTCTAGTCTCATATTCACTTTTACTAACGTGTAAATGATATTACTTTGTCTAAAAGTAGTCGTTTTAATAACTAGTGTCTATGTGCCAGATAATTTGAAGTTTAAAATATGTAAAACTAGCTTTTACCCGCGGCTTCACTCGCGTCACATAAGGATAAAAAGTAGCCTATGTGACATTATACCAATACACACAGCGCCATCTATACCAATACTTTGGTTTTCCCTCAGGAATATCAAATTTTTTCGGGATAAAAAGTACCCTATTATTTAATCCAAACTTCTAACTTTACGTCTGCAAAAATTCAAAGCAATCGGTTTAGTAGTTGCGGCGTGAAAGCGGAACAAACAAACAAACAAACTCACTTTACAGTTTATAATATAAGTAAGGATTGCGTTAATGAATCCATCCATAAATGCTTGAACTTTTTTATCCTCATTCTTAATAGATCCTATAGTTTGAGATATTTTTTTTTTAAGGGGGGAAAATCATCTAATGTCTGCTCCCGCCTGGGTGAGGCGGGAGGGAGTGTCAGACTCTTACTGACAAAAAACCACCCCGTTCCTTCTCATGCACGTCGAGCCGGAGCCCCGGTTACCCGTTAGGTTCTCCGCGACATAGTTTGAGATATAGGATCAAGTCGTAAGTAAAAGCTAGTTTTGCTAAATAAAAATCGATCAGACCGGTTTTAAAATCAAAGACTTTTGGGTACACGTAGTTCATAAATATATTTCGAATTTAGCCTTTTAGTGACGTCAAAGCCGATTAGTCGATTTTATAAAACGGTGTTAGATATCTATCAATTTTATTCCAATTCTTTTTATTCGAATACATTCGTACGATTATCAAATTATTCTTCATTTTTTTTTTATTCAATGGAATGGTAATTTGATTGTTGGAATATTTTTAAACGATGTGATTAGACTAGAATTTTTTTTTGTTTTTTTTTTGAAGTATATTCTATTGTAAATGTTACAATTCGATACAATATGCGGAACCTAACGTCACGCATCACGTTTTATTGTGAGATATTTTATATAATAAAAGTGGAGTATAAAATTTAGTAATTTTTAATACTAAAATTTCAACTGTATAGGTATAATAACTACTTTTTTATAATAACTATCGTGAGACATACTAAATTAAGTAAAAACGCGGGTTACTTACGTGAATATACTGAGAAAAGCTCTACTAGTTTCGAACCACAGAAAGCTACCAAGTTCAGTCAAAAAGAAGAAAATCAATCAAACACTTAATTATGTAATATAAAACTATGAAAAAATTAACTTATTCATATTTATTTAGAATCATCAATTTAGTTATTACGTGCAAATATGTACGAATACCTTGTATGTTTGAAATTGGGATAAACAACGTCAACATCACAAAGATATTGAAATTCCAATTGAAATAATAATTAGGAAGTATTGGACGCAGGCAACGAGACGCATTGTTGTAGGAGTGTAACAATATTAAGATAGCATTGCGTCGGGCACCCCCCGTCAGATGGCGCTGGCGCCGGTTCCGGCCGCGACCTGATAGCTCGCACTACGCTGAATATTTTACAGCGTCACAATCAGTGTTGGTGTGTACTATGTCTCCAGTGTACACAATAAGTGATAGAGGGCGCGCGGTATGCTCCCGGCCATACTATCCCATCACTGCTACTACCGATTTGTCGACAATCTTGAAATATGTAGGTAAGTACCTACTTGTTCCGATCGATCCTCGATTTTGATTGTTGGTCTTTTAACTATCCGCTGATGCTTGTATTCAATAAATCAACTCAAGAGACGTCGATATCGATTTTATTAACTAAGTTTTAATTTATTTAAAGTCAAAACGCGGGTTACTTACGTGAATATACTGAGAAAAGCTCTACTAGTTTCGAACCACAGAGGGGTTCTTCCTCATGAGCAGCGTGCGCGGTCGCGGCGCCGTAGACGACTAGTAGAGCTTTTCTCAGTATATTCACGTGAGTAACCCGCGTTTTTACTTAATTTAATAATAACTACTACCTACTACTACTAACTACTACATATAATAAGAATAAGTTTTTAACAAATTCTGAGCGGTAGCACGGAGATTGGAATTGTGCGCGGTATATGGCAATAGGCTCACCCTTTATTACATGGGACTCATTACATACAATAGTGAAAAGTGGGTGTTACATTGTACAGTAGCACCCATTTCTATTGATAGATAGCTATTGAGTTGGCATAAAGAACCGCAATGTGCACTTTCTGTCTACCCCTTCGGGGATGACGTTATGTTACCACTATAATACTACTACTGTGAATTATTAATTAAAAAAATATATGAAACAGTGTGAAACGAGCAGCTATTAATTAGAATTCACCTCAAAATGTAGTGGTGGTATCTTATACTATTATATAAAGCTGAAGAGTTTGTGTTTTTGTTTGTTTGTTTGAACGCGCTAATCTCTGTAACTACTAGTCTAATTTGAATAATTATCTTTGTGTTGGATAGCGCATTTATCAAAGATGGCTATTGGCTATAAAACATCATGCTTCGACCAATAGGAGCTGAGCAGAGCGTGTTAATCCGCGCGGAAGTAGCAAGTAAGATCTAAATAGTATGGGTATGTAATGTAAGGTCTATTATATAATTAAATTATATATGCTTAAAAAAATATAATATATATAACGTACAAAGTAACATATTATTATGTACAATGAAACATTATCTTCATTCTTTTTGACTATACATTAAAATCAGTCAATTTAAAATTAAAATTACAACCAGAAATCAATATTTGGTTTTTAAATTCATTGTAATGATTTACGCAAAAGAGTATTAAAAGGTAATCGAACCTTGTCTAACATTACGCGATTTTGTTATACGAAAACTATTTCAGTCTTCATTCCAGCAATTTTTTTTATCATTTTTTTTAAACCAAAGTAACAGTGTTTTGTTGATCCTTACCAATCAAACATACATGGTAAAGTACAAGCAAAAAATCTTATAATTGTTCTTCATATTATAAATACATATAACTTTTCCTGCCCCAGGTCCACAGGAAGAAATTCCAATAGGAATAGGTGGTACCTTTGAACTTTAATTTTATATATGTGTTGGCCTTTATGTTGTATATTTGTAAATAAATAAATAAATCTTTTGTTGTATAATAATTCATTTTATAATACAACTTTATCTACATTATATAATATAGCAATTAATTGTTCACTGCTACTGACCTTTTTAATTAAATAATTAATTAAATATATATAAACTTACCTTTATGGGAACTAACGGTGTAGGAAATATCCTCAAATACGAGATGAACTGGTGGTCGTTTGGCCATGCGATTCAGTGCTTTCAAAGTGGATCCAGCCCTTTCCAAAGCTGCTGGGGTCCAATTATGTTCCTGTCCTTCCTCACCCACCTCAGGGTTGGGGTTGCTCGAAGTGGATGCATTGGCCAACGCCGCTCCCACTATCGCCTTACGAACCAACGGTACTTGAGACATCGTTATATTATATTCTCTCACTATTAAAATTCCAAAAAATCAATCACACATTTAACCCACTTTTTAAAAAAAACAAAATAATTTATACAATATCACAGCGACTTTATATAAATTGTAAAAAAACTCAAATTACGTATAAAAAATCCGGAACAAAAACTAAGCGAATAAATTCCGTATTTTTTAAATTCGATTTTCGATTTATATTTCGACGTGGCCGTTGCGTGAGAGTCACGATGCGGCCCGCACGTGCGCAGTTTGGCGTTCGCGCAGCGCAACTGGGCATTAAGAATCGGCTTTAGAGATTATACCGATACATTTAAATTGAATGATAAAATAATGAGTTGATTTACCTATCAATTAAGGTTAATTGTTTATGGTCATCTCTTGTATTTTTCAATAACGTTTTCCTACTAGATTTTCAAACTAATTGATTCTTTTAAAGGAATTTTCCTTGAGTTTTCAACCGCTTGGTAGTACTATTTAGTTACACTGAGGACAAAGGCGTTGTACTTCCACGTCTAATAATTTTGTCTCCGATTTCAATATTCTCAGACTTTTTATATTTATTAGTGGTGGCGTTAGTATTAGAGGCGTTATAATATGTGCGTTAGCGGCCTCGTTACAAGTGTGTTACCAGCCTTTTGGAAATTGGGGATTCGAGGATTGTGTGGGCTTCGGGGATTGATTAACGGTAACGCACTTGTAACATCTTGGTGTTTCGGGTGTCCATGGGCGGCGCCGATTGCTTACCATCAGGTGATACGTCTGCTCGTTTACGTCGTTATATGCTATAAAAAAAATGTCTTTACAGCATGCTTATTGTTTATTCAAGGGAAAATCACTTTTCCTAATAATGGTGAACAAAATAATAAGCGTCAAAATTATACGTAGTCTAATTGTCTTTTTTATAACTACGCAAGTTATAATATAAAATAGTTTTTATTGTATCACGTTGCCTACATAGATATCCGCTACGCATGTATAATTAAATATATTTAGGAATAAATTCGCTTGTGATAATAACTATACTAATTTTATTTTAAAACACTAAATCGAAGACGGAATAATTATACATATTTATATAAAACAATAAAGATATATGACCTTCTAACTTCACGTTTTGCTGAATTAATTTTAATGAAACAAATGCCCATGAATTAAGTACAGATTGTGATCGTTAATAATATCAAACACGTTATACTTATTGCATACCTAATAGTAGGTAGGTGTGATGTGACAGCCTCGATGGCCGAGTGGTCGCAAGTGCGACTGCCGGGCAAAAGGTCTCGGGTTCGATTCCCGGGTCGGGCAAAGTATTACTGGGGTTTTAAAAAAATCTCAGTAGTAGCACGGAGTCTGGAAATGTGCATTGTATATGGCAATAGGCTCACCCCTATTACATGGGACTCATAACATAAATAGTGAAAAGCAGGTGTTACTTCTGTGTGTACCTCTGCCTACCTCTTCGGGAATTAAAGACTTGATGTTATGTTATGTTAGTAGGTAATGGTAAAAATATTATATTGATATATCGTAATCAAAATTTGTCCATACTAAAGTAATCTCTAAACATCGGAAATAAGGTGTATATTAGAGTTAGTGTGAAGCTGCTGGTGGTGACTGACTGGTGACTGCTTAGGGATTAAGCAGATATCCAGTATATAACAGGGGAACATCATTTTTGTGGTCTGATTTTCTCAAGGACAGCTAGGTTAAAAGAAAATTTACGTACGATTGCATCTTTTACCCTTTTTTTTTATAGCATAAGCTGGTAAACGAGCAGACGGATCACCTGATGGTAAGCAATCGGCGCCGCCCATGGACACCCGAAACACCAAGGCGTTACAAGTGCGTCACGGGTCTTTTGGGAATTGAGAATTTGAGGATTGTGGAGGATACGAGGTTCGGGAGACTAGGGAGGAGGTAATTGGTCCTCCTGTAATCTCACTCACACGACGAAACCGTGGTATCACTCCGGTCCAGCCAGCCCATTCGTGCCGAAGCATGGCTCTACTTCTACATTAAAATATCTTAAAATAGCTACCAAATACGATGATGATTCGAGACAGTATCCGTAGACTAGGTCATTCAAGTTTTATCAGTAAGAATCTGAGAGTTCCTTCGACGTTTACAAGGCACGATAAAGGAATTCTCACAGGTGATAGGCTGCATGAAAATTTTTCACCATGGTGGTCATAAAATGTGGTAGAAGATACAACAGATAAACATGACAGACGACGCGACGACAGACATGACAGATATTTCACTCTGTCAGCTCTTTAATGTGACTATAACGACTCTGACAAGATCAATAGAGACGTCGAGGCGGTATGTTCAGCATCATCATATCAGCCGCAGGGCATCCACTTCTGAACACAGGCATCTCCCAATGTCTTCCAGATAGGCCGGTTGGAAGCGACCTGCATCCAGCGGCTCCCTGCGACCTTAATCAAGTCTGTCTACCTTGCTGATGGACGTCCTACGCTGCGCTTGCTGGTACGTGGCCTTCATTCGAAAACCTTTCTGCCCCAGCGGCTGTCGGTTTTCCGCGCTGTGTTCCTTACCCACTACCACTTCAACTTTCCGGTATATTAGAGGTATGTAACATAAAATAAGGAAACTCATTTAAATCTGGTCAAATGAGTTACTCGATTATTTGAAAATGCTATTGCTATTAACTGTCAATTACAGAGTCGTATCATCACGATTGTTCTAGACAGGTAATTAATTTTTTATCTATTACTTTGAAGAGTTGATTGGGGGTCAGTGACCGATTTATTTGTATGCAATTTTATAGGTATTACTAAATATATTACACTAATTTTATTTTTTTATGAAAATAAGGGACATCTAATAGCCATTTTTGTAAAAGGTGAAACTAATTCTTTTATATTCAATGTCGTTCTACTATAACGAATATTTAAATATTATTACAGTTTAAGTGGCTGTGCTATAATGGGATTAGTTGGCATTAGGATGGTCTGATCCCGGACACAGTTCCAGTTTGCAATTTCCAAGATCCAACTAAAAAAAATATGGAACATACTTTTTTAATTATACGAAGGAAAGAAAGAAGGAACGAAAAACAGTTATTTAGCACGATTAGCCACGATGCAACATAAAAACAACAATAAATGATAGTGTGGCAAATAAGTTAAATGAACAATTAGTAAAAAAGTAAAAAAAAACAAAAAAGAATCAGAAAAGAAACATGCTAACAACATGCCTATGCTAAATGGGTTACCCACTCAGTGTAAGCTAGGCGCACGAGTCACCCAACTCTGATTTCCAATGGGCAAATTTGCAGTGGCGCACGGATGGTATGGTAGCAACATATTACATATAATTTAATTGTTTCGGCAGGTGTAGCTTATTATACGGACCTTGTGGAATCTAGAACGAATTTCCGTGCGTTTAGGCGTTTTTGCCATACCTATTATTGGAAGCAAGTATAGGGCTCACACATAGGACCCACTTAGTTTTTAGTCAAATTTCCGTGGTGCTTGGCGACTGGGCTTCACCTAGTTGTACAGTCTCTTCTTTGTGCCTTTAGGCTTAACTCATTCTGTCTCCTGCAGTAATTCACCGAGGGAAGTGGAAACCATTGTTTTTTCTTCTTCTCCTATTATAATATCTTCTGATTCACTTTGTTGCGGGAACCAAGACAGTTACTCATGTCCCTGGGACGCGCCGGACTTCAGTGTTCCGGTGTTTTCATGGTTGTATCTACTGTAGATCCTGGCTTACATGAGTTGCAGCGGTTTTGGGAGGATGTGGCGGGCTTGTCCCATTAAAAAAGAAAACATATTATATGTGGTTAGACAAAGAGAAAACATAAAAATACCTATAAGTTATTGTATTTCTTTAATCAATTATAATAAATATTTAAAAAAATATATTTCAGTTCAATGAAATCATTACTAATATTCAACTAGATAATAAGATTTCTGGGGTTTTTATACTTGATGGACCGACGTGTGACCACTATCACGGCTGGTGGTAAACGATGAAGCGGTTTACGGTAAAAAAGAATTTAGATTTTTGTGATCAGTAGAAATATCAAATCACGTTCTAAGTTGAAAACTTTAAAAACATCGCTAAATAAATCAAGGCAATAATTTTCCTCTGGCTATTTTGACACACGTTTTAAACCAAACATAATTTATCAAATATAAATAAAAATCTGCTCCACCTATAGTTGTCACATTAAAAAGAATAACATTCGGACAAAAATAAATGGCATTAATTTATTAATTCTTCACTGATAATGTAATAAGAATTTTAACAGATTACAGGTTGACAGACTTTTGTTGATTACAGGTTGACAGTCCATCGAGCAGGTTAGTGACCGCAAGGTAATAGACACACTATGTCAATGACGCGCTCGTCATTGGTCATTGAAACTGGCGATTAGCAATTCGTCGTAGTCTATTTATTATTTTGACTTACTAGGGCTGCTAGACAAATATAATGGCGGTAATATTAGTGGAATAGAATAGATGGTAATACATAACATAATATCACGCCTTTTATTCCCAAAGGGGTAGGCAGAGGTGCACATTTACGGCACTTTATGCCATTGTACAATGTAACACCCTCTTTTCATTATTAATTATGAGTCCCATGTAATAGGCGGCGAGCCTATTGCCATATACCGGGCACAATTCCAGACTCTGGGCTACCACCGACTTCTTTTTTTAAACCCAGTGATACTTTGCCCGACCTGGAAATCGAACTCGAGACTCCTTGCCCGGCAGTCGCACATGCCAACGACGCAGTACCAATAGAATATATTATGGGATCACTATCCCATAGAGACAGTGAACGAGCAAATAGATAGATATAGATTAACCTTATAGACAATAGGTTCACCTTATGATAAGCAATCTGTGCCGGTTATGGATATGCGTTACACCAGAGGACTTACAAGCGTATTTAAAAAAGATTATGAAATTTGGGATAAGGGCGTCCGGCAACCACGCTCACACGGCAATATAAAACTAAAGCGTTGTTTCACGTCGGTGTTCTTTAAGGTCTTGGTATCGTTTTATATATGTTATTTTTTATGTGGGGAAAATCATCGAATGACTGCTCCCGCTTGGGTGAGGCGGGAGGGAGTGTCAGACTCTTACTGACTAAAAACCACCCCGTTCCTTCTCCTGCACGTCGAGGCGGAGCCCCGGTAACCCTTTAGGTTCTCCGCAACTCCGAATCGGCATCGGCCCTGTTGAACCCCATCTGTGGTGGTCTGATGG